GTACAACCCTGCTGCCTCTGTACAATGGGGGGCAGGAGCTGGTGCCTATGGAGAACCCAACTTCAAGCCAGCTCCCCAAGCACTGACTCCCCCAGACCCAATGCCCCTCCCTCCCCCAAGGCAGCAGCACAGGGGGCAGGCTTCTATTTCTCTTAATGGGATACAGGGTGTCTGCCAACTTTGAGTGTGTCAGGGGCTCCCTGGCTGAGCACTAGCTGCCAGCCACACCCCAGGGGAGTATTTTAGTAACTGTGTAACACACTGGTGTGGCCATGCGCTTGCTAAAACCTGTGATCTCCAACAGCCCCCACTTTTTGCAGCTGCCAGAGCTCCCTCAATTTGTGCCCTGGTTAACTGGACCCCCTGCCCCACCCAGCTGCCTTCTCTGGTCATAGCAGCAGCTTCACCATCTTGATGAGCGCACTCTCCAGTTAACCAGGCTGCAGGCCCTGCCGTGTCGCTCACTCAAAACCCTCAGTTACCTGCAGTGGGGCTGAGGCTTCCATGCCACCCTCCCTAGCAGCTCTACAGGCCAGCTGCTGCTGTGGGCACAGATGTAGCCATCTAGGTGAGTGCTCTCATAGTGAAATTGGCTGCGTCCATGCCCCAGGCTACAGCTGGAAAACAAGCCTCTTACCCACTTGTGTGAACCAGCACTTGAGCTGTAGTTTAAAACAAGCTGAATTGCACTCAGTTTGCCATTCACTGAGGTTGTTTTGCTTCACAGGGGTATGTAGAAGCACCTCTTGGGGTATCAGCGCATAACTGCAGGCTGGGAGTTCAGGCAGCAGGTCCATGAATGTGGGCGGCTTTAATCCCTGACGACAGCTCAGGAGCCAGAACCAACCCAGCTGATCCTGCTGTAAGGGGTCTGAGGATGTTTCTGCACCAATCAAACAAGCATGGACGTGTTCCCTTAAAGCCTTGTGATTCCAGCTAAACGCTTCAGTTCATTTTCCAAGTGTTTTACATGCCCCTAATCCTCACAGCAGCACTGAGGAGACCCGATTTACACACAGCAGGGGGAGAAGGCTAATGTGTCCTCACATGTCCCCAAACTCCACCTTTGGAAACAGCAGATCCCAGGGAGGTGAAGCTGTAGGACTTGCCCTGCTGCTTCTGCAGTCTTCAAGGGCCCAACTTTCCTCTGTCCTGAGAACCACTAAGTTGGGACCCTCAGCCCAATTCCCCCGACACTGTTAGAGCGCTGGAGAGGAAGTAACCGTTACACAGCCTGTGGTAGGTAGGGCCACAGCGGCTTTCACCCTTGGGACTGGAACTAGCTGCTGCTAAGCAGTTCTGAGGATACATCAGTAGACCAGCGGTTCCCAACCTTTCCCAGAGGGGGACCCATTTTGACAATTCAGGAAGACTTGGTGACCCAGGGCAGTTCAAAACCGGGGGGAGGAGGGAGGCAGAGACACTTGGTGACCCTTTTGAAATGTAATAGCGACCCAGAGGTTGGGAAACCCTGAGCTAGACCACGAG